GTGGAAAAAAATTGATATGTTAAAAATAAGTTTAAAATTAGATTGCGTAAATAAAATTGCAAATAAGATTGCTGTATAGACTTTGCTGATGTTTTGCAGACTTGGGATGAAGCTTTCCAAACTTAATTCAATATCAAATGTTTTAATCACATGCTTTTTCCAGGGTACATGGAAAGTAGCAGAAAATCAAGTTTTAAGAGAATAATAAAGAATGTGTCATATAGCAGAGATTAAAACATAATGCTAGAAGCCTATAGCCAAATTTTAAGTTGATGCAAACCTACACAAATTATACTATCACATCCCTATACATTTCTTCCCCTAGGCTCTGGTGGTCTTCTTTTCTAATATGATTCTAATTTGCAATAGTGGCGAATATCTGTAGCTCAGGTGTACGATGACACACAACATCCAGATCACAACACATCATACAGATGACTGCCATGCAAAAACTAACCCGACCATACACACAAGGGGTGTCAGAAAAGGCAGCCAGAATTCTCCAACCCCTAGGAATAGTGTTAGCCCACAAACCCATAGCCACACTCCACCAGGAATTATCCAGAACCAAAGACAAGATATAGAAGGATGAAAGAAACATTGTAATCTACCAAATAAACTGTAACAATTGCAACAACTTCTACGTGGGACAAACGTCATGTCAATTAAAAACCAGGATCCATGAACGCTAGCAGTCAAACGCCACAATCCCAAATCCTTAATCTCTGCCTACACCGTCACCAAATAACACCAGTTTGATTAGAGCAACACTAAAATCATTGACCATGCTACCAGCTGCCACATTTGTGAGTTCATCAAAACCTGGCACTCCACAGACAATTCCATCAACAGACATATGGACCTACAATCAGCCTAAGAACCCCTCAGAATCCAAATCAACCACACAGCAACCAAGACAGCACCAACCCTCAACCAACCCATGCAAGCCCCAGCCTAGCAGTTCACCTTCCAATGACCCTGACCTGATGTAATCTCCCCATCACAAGACCCATCACCAGCTTCTTACTGATGACTCACACCTGACCCACTGATGATTCACACCCTCCAATGACCCTGACATGAAGTAACTTCCCCATCACAAGATCCATCACAAGACCCTCATTTGACACACCCACACCTGAAGCACTTATAAACAGAAGAGCACTGACACAAACATCCCCTAAATGCCACTTAAGATGTTACCTAGCCTGGTAACGAAATGGTTGAAAACCAACCCACACACTCGGAGAATGAACGATTCTAATTTTTACCCCATTTTTCCTTGTCCTTCCTGCTCAGATCACACGTCCCATTTTGAAATCCTAACCACAGTTCTACATTTCTCTGAATCTATTTTCTCCTTCTTCCCTCATTGTCAAACAAAACACAATCTTGAGACAGTATAAAATATAAGAAAGGATAATGCTCTGTAATTTTTTCCTTCCTTTAATCTTTACACATCCAGTTCAATCTGGAGTTTTTTTTCCAAACCAAAGAATATTTGATACAGCAATGTGGTCTTGTGGTGAACAAAACATTGGTGCTGTTGTTGATTGTTCCAGAACATAGTAAGTTATCGTGACAACTCTCAGTTGGATACTATATTCCCATGCTATGAAGCTAAGCAGACTGATTATGAGATATTCAGTGGATATATTGAGCTTCTCCCATCTTAATAATGATACACATTTTCACTAGACATGATCTAAAGAAAGTTGATCACATTTAAGTACTGTGAACATTACCCCTAACTAGCATGGCTAATTAATTTCATGGTATCTTAAGGACAGAATGTTTGGATTGTGCATTCTTTAATAATGTCATAGTTGGAGCCATGTTATACAATGTCTCCATATTCTCTTCTCATTTCATTGTTTAATGTAAATAACTACCACTTTATTGGAATAATTTTTTGCGACCCAATACTCATTTAACTAGGAACCAGATCTATTATTTTTAATATGGTTTACTCCCAAATAATAGGACAAGCCTATTTATATGTGCAAACAACTCCTGGCATGGTAATTAAAACATGGAGAGACACTTTTTAATGAAATAAACACCTTTTGTGAGTTTCAAGAAAGCAAGGAAAATACTGGACTTTGCAGATCAAAGTTTTTTTTTCTCATACTTGCTGTCACCTTATCTATTCCTCCTTGTTTTGATTAGAACACATTCCTTCTGTGTTTCTATTTTGCTAATATGTTCCACTCTTCCAAAAACTTATTTCTTCACAGAGAGAAGGGGACTTTTTTGACACTAAGGAAAAGTTTCAATAAATGAGGCAGGAGTGAACAATTATCCTACTATGGGGGAGGGGGAAGGAATTATTTTATGTATTGCTCAGTCTCAATCCTGATTTCCATACTAAACCACATTTGCTATTTACTTTTTTTAAAAAAAATGATTCATTTTTTAAAAATTTATCCTATTGTACAGTATATTGTTGCTTCACTGAATCATTTAGAAAAAACAATGGAGGAAGGCTATTGAGTGTGGCTCTAGATGCTCTATGTTTCCTATCTATTCTCCAATATACATGCATGATGGAGGAAGCATTAGGGATGTCTTCTTTTGCATTCTTTCAATCTAAATTGATTTCTAAAGTGATGGTCCTTACATTATCTATAGCAAGTGGTTTTTCTTTCTTTTAAATATCCTTTAAAATGGATGTTGTAGCTTAACTGTTGCTTTGCATTACAAATATAGTGTTTGCAAAACATCCATTGATTTTTCCTATTATTATTATTATTCTCTGAGTTTCGGCACCAGTGTGTCTGTGCTGAATGTTGTATCTGTTTGCCAGATTTGAAAATGACTTAAAGTGATTATTGTATTTTGCATTGTGTCTGCAAGGAATTAATTGGCCTTATGGAACTGCTGAAGAAAATAAGTGCAAATGGCTATACATATATATTTTTACATACATATGTACTGTACATAACCATCAAGTATTTTCTTTTTGATAATGCTTATTTATGTGGAACAGAGAGACAAAAAAAGCAATAAGCCAAGAAATAAAAGGTTTGCAATAATAGAAAGGGAAAAAGCAACGTTATTAATTATATTTTTTCATATCTTTCTAACTATAAAAGATCTTCTTACTTCTACTACCTCCACAGATCACTTCATGGACTGCCATTTGTTGTTTAATCCTCTTATCTCTTTATCTGAGAATCAAATGACTATTTTCTCGATTAGCCCATTCTTCTCAACCCAATGACTCTCAGATATCTGTTTTGCAGTTTGTTCCTCATTCATTCTGTAAAGCCAACCATTTCTTTCATAGTGGTTACTTATTTTTTTTATTCAATCCATGTTTCTTTATGATCCATTTATTCTTGACCCAAACACATATATGCAGTATTAATATTTAATATTTCACTGCAAGCTTTTGCATCCTTTCAGATAGAATTTTGAAAACAACTTCTTGAATACATTCAACAAACAAATCTGAATCCCATAGTTTTTGCATTCAGTATTGCTCTCTACCATTTTGCATAAGGCAACAATAACAATTGCCTTCCAATGATAGACATAGATGCAGTTTTCATAGATGTTAAGCCTACTCCACTATAAAAACACACATAGATTCAGTGTTACTATTTCTCCAGTTGCAGCATTTATAGTCAGTTCTGTTTGTCAGCATTTACTTATTTAATATTTTTCTAACCCCGCACAATCTCCAAAACTCTGTGATTGTGGGAAGTTATACAAGGCAATACAAACATAAAAACCAAAATATAAATAATAGAAAACCTAATTATAAACCTGAAATAAGATTCCAAATGAATTCCTGTAAAACAGGCTATCACACAAACCCTAGGGCTTAAAATATGCTGAAGCAAAACCACTTTAATTTGTTTCTAAAAGAGTGACAAATTTAAGGTTTTATGTATCTTTGGGGAAAGAGAAGACCTGCCAACTAATCCACAGCCATGTTCTTCTCTCTGTTGTATCCTTAGAGGCTCTCTCTAAAAGGACAGTTTGGACGGGCAGTTGAGTTCTATGCAGCATTGATTGATGGAGTATAATGTTGCACTGAAGCAGTTACCTAACATGCATAACTTTTCATATTTTTTTTATTTGGATGTTAACATTTGCAGTATTTCAATTTCACTCTTTCACAAATCATTATAATACCGTAGAGGTCCCTAAAATATTACGGGCAATCCTGTGCTTCCATTTCTTCCCAAACATTTTTATTTTTAATTCCATTCACTCTGCTGGAGGCACATTCTTTAGTCCTTCCAAAACTTCTTTTTTTAAAAAAAACCCATTAAAATCACTCCATATTTTCTTGTCCTTTTTTAATCTTAACTAATTCTTGATATTTTTACTGCATTCTTTACAATTATTTTCCGTTCTGTAAATATTATGCAATATCATTCAGTCTCATTCTTTGTTCTCTTACATGCATTTTCCACATCCACAGCCATTTTATTGTTCTACCAAGAACAATTTTTCATATTCCCCATTAGCAAAACTCTCCACAATTCCATGACACTCTGTAACATAATTATTTTTATCCTGATCCAAGCAGTTTCCACATTCACTTTCTATTTAGTCCATTAAAGGTCAATCTGTCTTCTAATATATTTCTTATACAACGTTCCATATTCAGAACCTATATCATGCTTGTATATTTTACTAATCATTTCAGTCTCTCATTGTAAACAATAAAATCAATAATCTTCCTAGATTTATGTTCAAATACTGTATTTAAAACAACAAAGCAGATATTTACCAATCACAATTGTTTTCACCCATTTGTTCATGTCACCTAATGGAATATCACTCCCCCCACACACACATATACACTACATGCCTTTAGAATGTTGCACAATAATGACTCTTTCATTATCACCATTCACTTGAGCTTAACATGCAACTGACACCAACTAAGAATTGCTACTTCATAAGCATCCATAACACTGAAATGATGAAATGCATTCATTTGACATACATTTTTGTACTTTTATTCATAATTAAACTTTTACCTTCACTTCTCTACATGTATTCATAAATACCACCCGTCAAAATCATAACAAGCAACCAGCAAGTTATTTTCATCTGTATAACAAGAGTTTGATAAATCCTTGTTAAATTTTAATAAATCTAACAAATGTTTAACACATGCTGTATATGTTTAATTTCAGTTTTGAAGGAAAAAGCAGCTTGTCTGGGCTGGATGGGAAACCACCAGTGTAAATATGACTGCTGGGAACTAGGAAATTAAAAAAGAAAAAAAAATCCCACTAGATGATAAAAGCAAACTAACACCCTTCTTTTACCAAGACCTGGGTTTGCACATGTCCAGGAAGTCACCAGGAAAATTTAACTTAACTTGAAGAAAACTTATCTTTGGAACCATATATATATTAAATATATAAATATATGTATTCTCTATAACTTGCCTAATTGGAGAATTGAAAATCTCAATCTATGTACTTTATTAAGTTTGGTACTTTATCAAGTTGGATTACAATGTCTTCAAGAAGAACAAGCACCTTTTTAGTGATTCTTGATCAGATCATGAAGAAAATGCTATGGCCACATATTCTGTTTAGCTACCTTTTGTCTAATGCCTTTCTATGGCATTCTTAACTAGCAGCAATTGCCCATAGTAAATTACATAAATTAGTTAGTCCTTACTAGCTAATTTTTGACTTTATTTTTAACAGAAGAGATGAGATACTGGGACTTCTCCAGCCTTCTCCAGCCTTCAGCTTTCCAAATGTTTAGATAGATAGATAGATAGATAGATAGATAGATAGATAGATAGATAGATAGATAGATAGATAGATAACCTATAACATATAAATATTAATCACTGTCCATCTTGAATACATAATAGAAGGAGGAAGTTTTGATACTATATGAACAAGGCTGATACTATATGAAACAAAACTGTGACTGAATCTGGATGTTCTGCTTCAGAGCCTCCTCCCAGAAGGTAACAAGGTAAACAGGTCGTGAAGAGCATGTGTCATGTCCCAGATAATCTTACGGACCCTGCTCAAGCCACGCTTATGTGCCGTATGCTGGATGGAAGGAAGGGAACTGCCAATGATATTTTCAGCCATCCTCACCACTCTCTGCACCGCCTTCCTATCTGAAGCAGTGATGCTTCTAAATCAGACTGTGAAGCTGTATGACAGGATACTCTTGATCATCCCTCTGTAGAAAGTGGTAAGGATAGGGAAAGGAACAGTGGTGGGATTCAGCCAATTCGCACCATTTCGGCAGAACCGGTAGCTGCGTTTTTGTTGCCAAGGACCAGAATGGACTTCCGGAAGTGGCATCCACACAGAGAACCAGTTGTTCACATATTTGAATTCCACTGGGAAGGAAGATGTGCTTTTCTTGTGTAATGCAGAAAATGCAAGTGCTGCTGTGCCCACTTCACCAGTATCTCGCTGTTGTGTGACCGAGCCAGCCTATTTGTTAATTGCACATCCAGGAATTTGATGCTGGTAACCATCTCCACAGGTGAATCATTAATGCATAGAGAAGTGTGCTATACCTGCCTTTCCTAAAATCGACAATGATCTCTTTGGTTTTTCCAGTGTTTAAAACTATGCTGTTTTCCTTATACCAGTTCACCAAATACTCAAACTCCTTTCAGTAAGCAACCTCACTGTCATGAATAAGGCCCACTACTGTTGTATCATCTGCGAACTTCACAATATGCTTGGTGGCACAACAGTCATGGCTCAACAGGGTGAACAGCAGCCGACTTAGGATGCAGCCCTGAAGAGAACCTGTGCTCAAGAAAATTATGTTAGAAATATTTGTTCCAGCTGGCACATCTTGGAGCCTGTTAGTAAGAAAAACAAGAATCCAGCTGCACAAAGGCAAGTTTAAGCCTAAAAGGCCCAGTTTCTCTACTAGACGCTGGGGAATGATTGGGTTAAATGCTGAACTGAAGTCAACAAACGCATATGAGTATTTCTTTCCTCTAAGTGCTTCAAACTCAGATGGAGAACAGAGGAAATAGCACCCTCCCTAGACCAGATCTCAGTTAACATATGAAAGGTCATACTGGCCAGGAACGATAGGACATATTTTGTCTGGTTGAATAGCTCCTTCTACATATGTGAAGATATATTGATTGATTGATTAATTGATTGATTGATTGATTTTTATTTATTGTAGAAAATTTATATAGCTGCCTACTTGCTCACAGCAACTCTAGGTGGTTTACAGACAATAAAAACACAATGTATAAATAAAAATAATAATAAAATAATAACCCCTCCACCTATCCCTTGGCAACAACACACACTCAAATCAACCATTTAATGGATTCCATCCCACTCTGGGTTCTCTAGAGCAGGGGTAGGCAACCTTGGCTCTTTTATGACTCGTGGACTTCAACTCCCAGAATTCCTGAGCCAGCATGGCTGGCTCAGGAATTCTGGGAGTTGAAGTCCACGAGTCATAAAAGAGCCAAGGTTGCCTACTCCTGCTCTAGACCCACTGGCAAAATCACGTCTTCAGGGCCTTACCAAAGAGTGTCAGAGTAGAGGGCCAGTCTAATTTCTGGAGGGATAATGTTCCAAAGAAAATTTCTGTTTTTAGTTTTAACTTTTCTGTGCTTTGTCTTAAACTAACAATGTGTTTTAAAATATAGTATTGGGCCAAAATGCTTACAAAGTATTTTTGACTAAGCTTCCTAACAAAACTCAATCCTGACTATTTCTATCCTTGATCATCATTTCAATTCCCATTAATCATGCTGAATATATCTGACCTATGGATCTGGCCCCTGAGTGTAATTAAAGAAATCCATTTTCTTTTAATGTTAACTAAAGAATATTTACTATAAAGTGTTATAAAATTAATTCCTCTTCTGAAATCTCTTCTAAACATTAACATTCAGCTAGTTACTTGCAATGAACTATAGAACCTGAAAAATTAGCTTTATTACAAAATCTTAATATTAGCTGTGCAGTCAATGCAACAATATTAAAAAAGGAGAAATCTTTTCAGTGAGATTTCTGCCTGTTTTCACTTTTTATAACTTTTGGATTATGCAAGCATTAAAGATGCTTCACTAGATCAATATAATTTTAGCCTTTGACACAATTAGCCTCTTTGGTAGATAGACTAATTAGACCCAGGGCATTGACCTAGCTGGCAATTCACTTTACTGTTGTTGAGGATCTGCACCAGGGGGGGATTTTTTGAGGTTGTTCAACCAAGCAGATTTCATTTATCAAAAAGAAAAGAAAAAGGGAAAGGAATATAAATTGTTCACTCATACTGTTAAGACAACCATATCCTTTCTAAAGCAAAAGCAACAGATACTGTGTTAATATATTCTTTACTTCCTCCATCCCCTTTGGTTTCATCATATTTCTAAATTTAGGACATCTGTTTTTTTAAAATATGGCATTCACAACCTTTAGAATCTTGATAGATGTTAATTTTTCAATAATGGTGAAAATGGCAATGAAAATGAATCTTTCTCATTCCTTTTTCATTTTCACTGGAAATTTGTCCTCTGTCTTATGCAATTACTTCTTCCCAAGAGCAAGTAGCATGATTTAAACAAAGGGAATGCAAAGGGAATGCAAAGAGGATTATACAATTTGTCATGTTATTCTCAGTGACAACTTCTGAAAGCCCAGTCCTGCTCACTAGCTCAGAAGATCTGTCCATTGATCCTGTTCACTTCTGGTGGGTCTTTTACTGCAGATTTCCCTCCACCTGTTTCTTGATAACACCAAATATTTCTGTCCCATAACAACTTCAGGAACGCCAAACCATCTCTTCCTCCAGTGTTTAACACATCTACTTTTTTTCTTTTTTGTGATGCAAATGTGCCTGATCCAGATGTTTTAATCAGACACTCAGCTAATTTTGGCACATAGAAAAAAAAAACCTTTTGAGACCATTATATCTTTCCAGATTCCTAAGGCAATTCTCCAGCATAGGATATAGTGATCATATATAATTTCAGTAGTTTTGAGAGGGATATTAGACAAATGCATGAGGGTAAAAACTAATAATGGCAAGAATAGCTGAATAAATCTACTAACTAGCACTATTGCCTTGGTCGATAGTATCTGAGCCAAACTGAAAATCAAAGCTACCTTTGCAAACTATGCCTTCCCTAAAATTATGTATTCTTATTTATTTAAACAGTTAAAATGCAGAATGGGCATTTTAACAAGTTGCACAATAGAGTTGAAAAATAAACCCGCCTTTCCAAATAGTACAATCATAGCCTTGGGTCCCCACATGAATATATCAACTCTTACTACTAAAAATAAAATAAAATAATGAGATTTTCTCCTTTCTAGCCAATTAGCACACACCTTATACAAGCATCTGCCTGCAGCAATGTATTTTTATATATATAAAAAAATCTGCCAGGAACATGTTGAAAAAATAAGTGGGAGAAGATGAAAGGAAGGGAAAGAGTGAATTTTTTAAGTCATCATTGAAATACCTTTTTGATGTGGCTATGCCTGTTCAGTTCTCAGCTTTTCCAATGACTCCCTTTGGTTTATTTCCCCTCCTGAGCCCATTCTATCCTCTGAAAAAATAGTACAATTCAAAATTAATGTGTACATTAATATGCACGTAATTCAGAGATCTCTTGCTCATGGATATGTTTAGCAATGCTTTCTTTCTATGCCAGGATGTATTAGAGCCAGGTATATTTGGAATAACAACAAACAGAACCAATAATATGAGTCACTGAAAGAGAATTCTCAGAGCCGAAAACAAATATCTGCTTCTTAATTACTATGTTCTAGTGATTTTTTTTTTTACATCTATGTTATTGCTTGTATTACTGTTTCATGCACCTCTACAAAACATGACCCTGCAGGTGGTTTCATTGTTGTGTAACTATGATAAATGCATCTTTGTTTAGCAGATTTTAATCTAAACTAGGCAATGAAAGGTCAAAGGAAATTTCAGCCATAGATTTATTGGATGAGAAAAATCACTTTCCGGAGAATGAGCAGTACCTGAGGATATGGTAAAGGAAATTTTCTTGAAATTAAGTCCAATTGCATTTGATGGATGTTTAGTATTTCTGAGTTCAGTAAACATGCATCACATTTCTTTATTTAGTTCCCATTTTATGGGGCTATTTGTACAGGATATCTACTCTCAGAGGATTATCATCACCCTTGACAGGGTAGGAGGGAGTCATGATGAGGATTATGCCATCAAAAATCGTGAACCATTGGTAGGAATACTACTGCTGGTAGACTCTAAAAAGATCACTTTTATTGAAAAAAGCAAAAAAAAATGAAGTGTTATTTATGGTTTGATAAATACAAAGGATAGACTATAAAATAACATTGTAACCTTAGACAAAGAGAATAAAATATATATGTAACAAATGTTAAGATTAGAAACTGCTTCTTTACATTGCTTTTTCTTTTCTTTTCCTTCCCTTCTCTATTTCTATGCACTTTTTTCTCATTGCATTTCTTTATTTCCTTCTTTCAAAATTTGTATTTTTATTCTCTTAACATTATTTAATGAAATGTCATGTACATAATAGTAAAGGAAAATGAAGTCGAGCACATGGTAGAGAAGCAACAAAGACCTTGGAAAAGATATGAAGGTGCTGTGATGCATCTATACCCACAAAGTTTAGAATAGTGCAAGGAGCAGTATTCCCTGTGACTGCCCTATGGAAGTGAAAGTTGGACTTTGAAGAAGAAGGATAGGGAGAATATTGATGCTTTTCAACTTTGGAGGTGAAGAAGATTCCTGAGAATGTCATTGACAGCCAAGACAACAAACAAATGGATCAGCAAACAAATCAACTTGGAGTTCTCACTCAAGGCATTAAATTAAGGACTTAGATTTATGCATGTGGAAACAGCTGTCTGACAGATAGCTGATTAATTGAGGTCACCAAAGGTACATTTCTAGATGACCATGAAAATGTAGCAAACAGATACAGAAAACTCAAACTCTTTGCTGACAACTAATGGTCACTGAATGATTGTGATCAAAATCTGATAATTGTGAATTAAGACTGCCTTCCTAGAATAGGACTGGAAGCTATGTAAAGAAATGTAGTGAAATTATCCATCACTGTTTTGAGATATGTTCTTCAGAAGACAATTAAGATTTCCAAATGTGACTTAAATCTATGTTTCACAGGAAGGAGAAAATTAGTAAATAACCTTTATATAAACACTCATATCACATGCAACTTCAGTGATTTAGAATTTCATTAGACTGAAAACTCAATGTTGTAATGATTTATAAAACTGTGGATAGTTGAATACTATAAGAAATAATCACAGAATTTATAGTTTACAACTGGAGAAAGAAATTCCAATTGTTTTCTTTCTTCAGTTTTACAGGAAGTATGAAAATTAATTTACTATTTGTGACAGACATGAAATACTAATTCAGATATGCCATTTGAAATCTGTATTCCAAATATAGTTTAAGGGGTTAAATATCTTAGCTAATTACAAGAGTCTGGATAATAAAAACCTGATTAACATTCAGTTGTTTACACATTTACACAAATGAAGTCAAAGTTCTACAAAATAATTCTTCCAGTATGCATTTTTTAAAAATTTATGCATTAGAATAAAATGCTAAATCAATACTTTATTATCTAAATTCAATAAGAATGGGTCCTGGCTTTGCCATGAGAAATGCATTTGCCATTGCTCAATAATTCATTTATTTTTTTCTATACTTCCCACTCACCCCCCACCTATCTCTGACTGAAAGCAAGCCAAAGTGATTGGTGCCAAAATAGAAACAAAATTCTTGCACAAATCCATAAATTGCATGACCATATGGCACAAAATTGCTTGTTGCTTTAGATTGTAATTTGCAATTTTGCAGATGCTGTTATAAATCCTTCACTATATAAAACAATGGTGTACAATAATGGCTATTGATAAAATTTTTTTGCTTAACAAAAAATGATGGCTCCTGAAGAAAGAAAAGCTGCAGAAAATGAACATTCATTTGTCTTATTACTAATTATCCTTTATTTCAGTCCTATTGGGAAGGTTTGCATCCAATGCCAGGATACTGGACAACCTTTTATTGAAGACATTTTCCTCATACTTAAAAGAAAAAAATTATCTAGCCAAGCTGTGGCACAATATAGTAACTCTGGACCAAAAATACATCTGATTTCATCTTGTTTTTCTAGCTGCAATTTATACTCCCAGGAAGGAAATTAAAAATATAAGAGCTTAACTAATCACTGGAAAACAAAGTGATCCTTTCTTATTTGTTCTTTTCAGTGCTTTTTTTCTTAAAAAAAAAAAAAAAAGGTGCCAGAACTCACACATGTCATACAACCTGCCTTGCCTACAAGGTTCCATCCCAAAAAGGTGCCGGAACTCCGTTCTGGGCGTTCTGTGAGAAAAAAAAGCCCTGGTTCTTTTCTTACAATTGCAATGAACAACGCATAGGGAAAGCTCACATCCTTCATTCCCATTTGCAGGCAAAATAATGTGTTTTGCTCTAATGTTACCTGTTGGGAAAGTAATTGGGTTTTCCCTTTTCAAAATTTATGATCTCTTGGAAGGAGAAATTTAGATTGTGGAAATGATAACTGTGCTTATGTATGTTTTCCAGCTCCTGTTTTCTCCTCTATTTGAAAGTATGGTATCTATCCAGCAACACCTGTTCTTCATTCTCTCCTAGGAACAACTCAATCTGGGTACAAGCCATGACCTGGGAATTCTTCCATGTTCTCTCATGTGTTGCCCCTAAGGGTGAAATCCTAAATAACAATGAATGCACTGCTGAAAGGAGTTAGAGTGGGAAAGACACTCCTTTCTTTCTACGTTCTGTCAGCAGAGCAGAAGAGGATGCTGTCTGAATTGCTAAAAAAAGAGGCAGGGAAAATGGGAGGAGGCAGATCATACCCCATCCAACCCCACCCAGGTTAAGGAGATAGCCATGATGCTATCAGTGCTCACAGTGCTAATCAGACTAAGGATAGTTCTGAGTCAATTTGAACGCATTAGTCTGGTTCACACATAATGTAGTTTATTTGTTTTGGTCTTAGTATAGTATGAACTTAATCACTATGTTTATAAACTATGATTTAATGTGTTGTATGAAGCAAACCAATTATGGTTAGATGATTTTAGCACAATGCGTGAACCAGCCACTCTAATCAAAAAGAAATTCAAAAAGTAATTCTTGTGATTTTGATGTAACACAAATAAATCTAGCCTAATGTTAGCTCAGTTAAGCCATAGCTATTTCAGTTATTTACATCTCACAAAATATCATTGTTCCGAGCCCCTTGTGAACACTCCACACTCCTGGATGCTATTTTGGAAACTTAAAAAACAAATCTAAACAGCTTCTTTATAACTACATTGGTAGATTTTATTACCTTATTTACTAAGTAATCTTCTCTGTACTTTATCCCATTTCATTGTACAGGCTTTGTACTAGGAAAAAAACCCCACAGAATTCTAAAGTTTAAACATATATTTCGGTAGACTTTATGTCTATTCTAATTTTCTACATTGTATACATTTAGAGATGAGTAGGAATAAACTGCCAGGTCAATCTGTCAATCTGTCTGCCTGCCTGCCTGTCTGTCTGTCTTCTAATGTACACAATATGTTGTTGTAAGTGATAAAATTTGATTCCATGAAATTCCATGAAAAGAAGATCCATTGGCAACTTAAAAGTTTTCTTTTTGCTGAAATGGATTCCCTTCTATTGTTACTGACTTATGGAAAATGTATTATAATATCAAATGAAAAAATCTTTATAAATACCAATATCTTTTCCCCCCACTTTTAGCCATTTCACATAGAGCTTCTCTGGAGCATGTGGAGAAATCTGATGAATGCTACAATTGTTTTGCAGACGGGAAGTGATTGCATTATTAACACTATCCAGAAGTGAGCAGTGATAAATTTTGGCATAGCTACAAACAGAAAAGTTGGGCAGAATGACATGGTTCTATAGAGTATTTTTGAAGCTCAAAAAAACCCACATGAACTTACAAAGTACCCTGATGAAATAAATTTCATCCTTTTCAGACTAAGAATATGTTTGAGACCAGATGTGCATTGCACACAGTACATACATACACACATACATACATACATACATACATACACACACATTATGCAAATGTATGTGACAAAGCAATAAAATGAGATATTTATGAATAAATTTGTACTTGGTATTTAATCTGTCCTAATAAATGATTTGTAGTTACCATCTTGAATTTATCTCCAGATAATTTCCTGCCATTATTGTCTCAAGATTTTGACAATTTAATTGAGTACAACATACAAATAAAAAAAAGAGGGTGTTCTTTCACTTTAACCTGAAATGTGATAGGAATACATTATTTTACATATTTCCCATGGTGCAAATTAGTATGTAAAATGAATAACTACCAACATCCTGGTTTTTTTTAATTTCAAAAAGTAGTTAGTTTAATTTTTTTTGTATTTTAACTTTTTAAAAAAAAATAAAATAAAAATAAAATTTATAAAAAGTAGTTAGTTGATGAAATTCTCTGGTTTTGCTTCACTGAGATGACCCACCTATTCCCTCCAATCAAATGGATGCAGAAGCAGATAAAAATAGTATGATTTAATCTATCAATTATTAAATATTAATTAGTTTTTTTCTGGTTTTTGGAAGGAACTTTAGAATCATAGCTAACCTTTTTGATATATATAGGAACTTAAATTCTCTCTCTGCCTTAAGAGATATTTTCTCCAAATTGGGTCAGCAA